CCGATTTGAGCTGTCGCACAGTGTTATCAAAAAAAAGCTATCAATGGGTAGGTTCAGAAATGGGTGGGTTTTGAAGAAATTTTTTTTATTTGTAAAGGCTCTCAAGAAAAACTAAAAATTTATATAAAATTACGCATAATAAATGGAAAAATTTTTTATAGCAAATTAAAAAAGAGAAATAATACTTTCATAAAAATATAAGTACATACATAGATTTAAAAAGCTGCTTGAATACAAAAGTTTTATGAAAATGTCACATTAAACAACTGTCTAAATCTACGTTATTTTTTATAAATAAGGACGTAAACATTTCCTTACATCGTCAATTTCCATATTCTATTTTTACTCTTTCAATTTCACTGACCAGCGCCGCAAACGATATCAACTAGTAGGCTAACAACCAGAATTGAAATTTAATTAGCAAGTACTTACAGTACTACAAGTATACAGAGAGTAGATTTGCTAATCCCTTTTGGCAGCAGCAAATATCTCTCGTACGCGATGAGAGAAAGTAGAGTACCTACTTTGGTGGAGTAATAGCAAGTACGTCAAGTATTTACTCTCTCAACGCCAAGTAGTGTATGTATGCGGAAAAAGAGTAACAATGTGTTGGGAGTAGAGTACAATGCAAGGAGTACTTATTGAACGAAATGCGGCAAATACACTTGCGCTGGACTTTAATATGTACATAGGTACAGCCCAGGGTTGTTGCGAATATTCGCATTCGCATTCGCAACCGCGGAGCTTCCGCATTAATTTTAACATTCGCATTCGCATTCGCATTCGCATTAATCAATGCGGATCTTTTGCGAATGCGAATATTGAAGGGACCGAAAATAACAGTTTTTTTTACGAGTTAAACTTGGCCAAATATTTTTTATTCCCAACTAAAAGTCCTTTCTGGATAATGTTCAAACCGCTTGTCCAAATTAAACAAGTTTGGTACCAAATGAAAGAGGACTTAAATAGCTTTAAAACTGAAATGTCTAAACGAGCAAAGCCACCTATTGAAAAATATTTCAATAAAAAATGTTAATTAATTACCATAGAACAAACCTTGGGTCAGGTATATGAATTTCTTTAGTACTAAATGATATAAAAAATATATAAATAGAGGCGGTAACCTTCGTTCGTTATTTCTGTTTAAAAGCTATTTCAGTCCTCTTTCACATGATATTAAATTTGTTTAATTTTGATAAGCTGTTTGTTTATTATGCAGAAAAACTTTTATTTCGGAATAAAAAATATTAGGCCAAGTATAACTGGTAAAAAATAACTGTTTTTTTCGGTCCCTGGAATATTGTGCAAGTGTACTGATAAAACGTATATCTGGCCAGTCACAGAAGAAAGGATTAAAAATGAATTAATTACGAATTCTTTGGAAAACAATGGTGTTTAAACAACGATCTTGCCATGATACTAGATTGTGGAGGTGATAGTCGGGAGGATACATTCGCCATTTGCAGCCCGATTCAATTCTCAAAAAAGAATTATTGCACCGCAATAAAAAAAACAATAAATATAACTGAAAGTCTTCTCGACTGGTGCAGCGTCAATCGAAAAGAATTTACAATTTTGTCAAGTTTCAAGTTTTTCAAGTTTGTCTCCTCGAGCGAGCAGTTATTTAGTGGCCCTGATTTACGAACCTTTAAAAACTTTTTATTGGATACAATGTTCCAATTTTCAAATTCAAGTACTAAAAAAACATTATTATAAATTACTAACGTTTACATTTTTTATTTAACTAAATCACCTAATTTACTCACATAAATTATTTCTTAACAAGTAAAAAGGTCTAAGTTCGGGCGGAGCCGAACATTAAATACCCGGCGCAAGTGTTCAATATAGTTTTTCACCGTTCCGAAAACTACCGCTACATTTTTTATTTATTTTTTTTTTTAATTATACTTGCATTTATTTGTTGGATCTGCTTATTTTACATCTATTAAGCCTAACAACAAGTTTAAAAATCTTACGTCTAATTTTACAATAATGTAGCTCAAACCCTGGGGTTGAGCCCTGTTGGTTTAACGTCGCTCAATTAAAGGCTGGTAGATCTCTTCTTCGCAGGCGTGTTATATTTGTTGTGTTGCACAGGCCACTTGCCAGTGGATTTGGGTGGTTACGCAGTTTTATTTTGTATTTTTCTCTGCTGTTGTCGATTACAGATTTAACTATCGGTATACCAAGGTTTCTATGTATATTTTCATTGCGGACATACCACGGTACTCCCGTTAAGGCCCTTAGCGTTTTAGATTGGAATCTTTGGATCCTGTCAATGTTGGTTGCACAGGTCGTACCCCACAGTTGAATACCATACATCCATATAGGCTTAATCACTGTATTATATACAAGTACTTTATAATCTAGTTTCAGTTTTGATTTACTGTTTATAAGCCAGTTCACGCTAGCTGACTTTAGCTTCATTTGTGTAATCTTGGTTGATATGTGTTTGCGCCAAGTTAGTCTCCTATCCAAGTGTATTCCTAGATATGTCACCTCATTGGCTTGTGGAGTATGGACATTATTTAATTTGATTGGGGGGCATACTTGCGGTCTGAGTGAAAATGTTGTATGTTTACTTTTCTGTTCGTTGACTTTTATGCGCCAGTTTGCCAGCCATTCTTCTATGCGTAGTAAATGTTCCTCTAGTACTCTTGAAGCTCTGTTGGGACATTTATTACGACTTACTAAGGCGGTATCATCAGCGAAGGTGGATGTGAGTATATTCTTGCTAGTTGGAATATCTGAAGTGTAGATATATACAGCATATGTCTTCTGAAGTGATATTAGATACTTTAACAGCAAATATTCTGTTAGTTATGTATGATTCAAATTTTTTGTGGAATTCCGGCGGCAACAATTTTTTAATTTTATATATAAGACCGTCGTGCCACACTTTGTCGAATGCTTGTGCCACATCGGGAAAAATTGCAGAGCAGTACTCTCTGAGCTCAAATGCCCTTCTGATTTCATTTGTAATTCGATTAACTTGTTCAATTGTACCGTGTTTTTCTCGGAAGCCAAATTGGTGTGCTGGTATTAAATTGCGTTCATGGAGAAAGGGAGATATCTTTGATAGGAGTACTTTTTCGAATACTTTGGAAAGACAGGGCAGTAAGCTTATTGGTCTGCATGAGGACGGCTGTATTGCGTCTTTTCCAGGTTTGGCGATCATGATTATCTTCGACCTTTTCCATGATTCCGGAAAGTAACCGAATTTGAGGATAGCGTTGAAAAGGTCAGAAAGAATTGCTAGTGCAACATTCGGTAGCTCTATTAGCATTTTCGGAGTTATAAAATCAGCACCCGGCGATTTCTTTGGATTAAGCTGCTTTACTATAGCTTTTACTTCTAAAGAGTTCGTCTTGCTAGGTGTGTATAGCTCATTTGTATTTTTGGTTAGCCGTGGCAGCCTGAAGTTGTTCGTTGGACAGTTTGGCTGAAACACATTCTTTAAATGGTGTGAAAAACACTCGGCTCTCTCCTGCTCACTACGAGCCCAGGTTCCACCTTGGTTCCTAATTGGCATTTCTGTAGCCACTGGTGGTTTGAAGTATTTTAGCGATTTCCATAGAGAGTATATTTCAGTAGAATTCGGGGAAAGCTTCTTAATGTACCTTTGCAAGTTGCGATCCTCTGCACGTTTGAGTGCTTGTTTCAGTTTTTTACTGGCAGCTTTATACAGTAGCTGTGAGGTTGGTGAGCGATGGTTCTGCCACTGTCTTCTTAGGCGCCGCTTTTCTGCCACAAGTTTTTCTATTTCGGTATTTGTAACTGATGTATGCGTAGGTGGTACTTGGACTTGATTTGGTGTTGCCAGGCCAGCGGCTGTAGTAAAGGTTTCTTTAAAATGTTCAACAACGGAGTCTATATCACGCTCGCAGTTAAGTGCAGCGTTTAATTTAAGGTGACTACTGATGTACTTTTTATATTTAAGCCAGTTGGTGTTATTAGAAGTTAGACGAGGCTCAATTTCGATATTTTGGGTCTGTTCATATAGTTTTATTAATATAGGGGAGTGATCGGATGATAGTTCAGGTAGAGTTTCTGCTGTTATGTTATTTCTGTATATGTTTCTTGTAATTGCGAAATCTATTAGGTCTGGTATCTTCTTTATATCGGTAGGCCAGTAAGTAGGTTTACCAGGAGATGTGACCTCTAGTCTATTGTGCCTGTTTATAATGGTATTGTATAGCTGCCGCCCTTTTGGGTTAACAAGGCGTGATCCCCAGTACGTATGCTTTGCGTTGAAGTCGCCTCCTGCCAGGAATCTATTACCCAGGCTATCAAAGAAATCTTTAAAGTCATTTTCAGAAATTAAAAATCGCGGTGGGCAATAAATAGCCGATAGATTCAAGTCTCGGTCGCGGTTTCGTAAGCATATAGTAGTTGCTTGCAGACAGGCTGTTGCTTTTGACTCTAGAATATTGTGCTTTAGACGATTTCTAAATAGCACCGCTGTGCCTCCATGAGCTTTACCATCTGGGTGAATTTGTATCCAGGTATGGAGAAATTATATTTATTTGTTAAATGTGTCTCGGACAGTAGCATAACATCTATGTTGTATTCAGTGAGAAATTGACTGAGTTCTAATCTACGCTGGTTTACACCGTTAGCATTCCATAAGCAAATTTTCAATTCACTCATTTTTTATTCACTAAAATTTGCAACAATTGGTTTTGAGCCTTTATGAGGTCTTGAATCATATTTTGCATAGTAGACATGAATTGAGTCATACAATGAGTAAGATTCAATATCATTCCTTCTATGCCACAAGTAGGGGGGTTCGGCTGCATTTGCTCAGTATTATTCCTTTGAATATTTGCAAATGTTTCTTGATTGGAGTTTGTTTTCGCCGTGCTTGGCTGCGTTTGTAGTTTTAACGCGTCGGCAAAAGAAACGTTGGGAACTCACTGCGCATTGGCAAAAAAGGCTCCTCGTGTAGTGGTTGATGGCGTGAGGTGTTGGTATGTATACGAGCTAGTTGAAGTGGTGGAAGAGCGTACGGCTGTGTTGCGCTGATTCATGCGAGACTTTAAGTCTTTGTATACAGGGCATCCCCTATAATTGGCGGTGTGGTTACCTCCGCAATTACTGCATTTCTTTACAGCCACATCATCTTTGATAGCCTTGCAAGAAGCGGAAGCGTGAAGGTCGCCACAGGCAACACACACTGGGCGCAAGGTACAGTATGTTCTGGTGTGCCCAAATTCTTGACAATTTGTGCACTGTACGGGACCGTTTCGCTTGTGCGGCTCCTCCACTGTTATTCTTCGGTGTAGAAGGTATCGTAGATTGTAGATTGGGTGCACTGCGTTTTTATTCATTGGCTTTGTTTCTGGCTTAAGTTCTACCTTAAACATAGGCTGAGCGATTTTTGCTCTGTTGATAATATTGACAACATTTTTAATAGAAAATCCTGCGTTCTCTAGAGCATGAGCAATATCAGCAATGGGTACACTTGATTCTATACCTTTTATTACTACTTGCAGTCCTTTGCTGCTTTTGAGCTGGTACGTATAGAAGTTTTTCCTATCTTCATTAAGGTGTTTGGTTACCAACCGTTAATTTTCTTCAGTTAGAATCTGAAGTTTAGTCTCTTTAATATTGCCCTTGGTAACTGATGTTACGTGGAACGTATTGTCTCCAATAAGCTGAGTTAATTTATTCACAAACTCACTACAGTTTTGCTCTCGTAAATAAATTGGGGGCGGTTTGGGTTTGGCTTTAGAAACTTCATTCGGCTCTTTGTCACATTCATTGTCCAGAATCGCAAACTTATTTCCCAGTAGAGGGTTAATGTCAGTGGTTTTCGTTTTTGCAATTTTTGATGGGTTTGCAATTTTTTGCTGCTGTGGGCTTAATTTTCGTTTGACTTGTATATACCTATCAATACCCGTTTGAGTCAATGTACGGGTTGTTGGATTAAGTAGGTCAACTTGCGCTGAGCTGCGTTGCTTGGCTTGGGCTGGTGCCGAAATTTCCGTTTGTGCAGGTGTGGGTGAACTGCGTTGTGAAACCGCTGTCATTGCTGAAGTCGTGGTTGTAGTCGTTGTTGTGAGAGCTGCGCTCACCGTTGTTACTGTGCTTGTTGCTAAGCTAGTGCTTTGTTGTTGCGTTAGAACAACTTGGTCTACCAGAGACATTGGCGACTGTGCATGCCAAGGTGTTTGGGGGGAGGGAGAGAACGATTTATCGCGATCAGCATTGTTTGTGGGGGAAACGAACGAAAAGTAAGCATTTCGTCGATCAGCTGAATGCTTTTGGTCAGCTTCTGTTACAGCAAGCTTTATTTCACTGCACTTGGTGCTTGTTTCACTACTATTCGGTAAGCGCGGTGGGGCCGGAGCTGCTTTTATTTTATTGTATGTTGGCACATTTATTTGAATTTCTCGCGGCATTGCGAAAATTCTGAAGAAGTAATTTATAATTATAGGCAAATAAGCAGAAAGCTTATTTATGCCTAGTATTGTATTTTCGCGTTGGTTCTGTTTTTTTTCTTTGCTTTACGTGAATTATTAATAATTTCTCGTCCGTCCGCACAGGTTGACAGTCAATCATACCGCTACATGGTAAGCAGGGGTGGGGTTACCCCTATTTCAAACACCTTCGATAGAACGTTCAGTTAGATATAATGAGATAAACTTATATAGATATATGTGGGCGGCATCACGCCCATTTTCAAAAATTCAATAATAATGTTACTTCTTTTCAAGGGATTGTTTGGGTAAAATTTGCGTCCTTAAATTTCGAAATATCGAAGATTCAAGCATTTCTGAAATTTACCGTTATGAAAAAGTGGGCGTAATTTTAGTCCGATTTCGATGACTTTCAACGTTTAGCCTTTATGTAGCAACCACAATAATCATACCGAGTTTGGTACACATTGATCGAACGGTTACCGAGATACACATATGTATGTGATCATAAGTGGGCAGGGTCCCGCCCATTTTCCAACATTTTATAATAAGCATACTTTTTGCTAAAGAATTATTGCAAACATCAATCTTGAATAAATTAGCTCCAGTATTTACTGATTTATCGATGCTTTCGTATTTCTCTAAATTACCGTTATATGGGATATTGGTGTGGTTATTATCCGATTTTTTAAATTCTAAGCCGTTTGGTATGTTTTGTGAAGGCAACAACTGTGTCAAGTTTGGGAGAAATTGATGGAGCGGTTCCCAAGATATACACATGTAATCATAAGTGGGCGTGGCTACGCCCATTTTCCAAAAATTTATAATATTCTTATTTTTCGCCCAAAAATGATTGTAAATATTAATTTTGAGTGAATAAGTTTCAGTAGTTACTAAAATATCGCAGTTTACGTATTTCTGAAAACTACCGTTGCATGGGAGGTAGGCGTGGTTATCGTCCGATTTTGCCTTTTTTTCAATACCATCCGTCCTACGCTCAAAAGAAGTACACATACCAAGTTTCGTTAAGATATCTCAATTTGTACTCGAGTTATCGTGTGCACAGACGGACGGACGGACGGACAGACAGTCACCGCTTAATCGATTTCTCTTTTCATTCTGATCATTTATGGATACATTTGTCTATATCTATTTCGACTCGTTTTGACTGTTCCAAACAACCGTTATGTGAACAAAGTTATAATACCCTTGTGCACCAGTGCGCTCGGGTATAAAAATACATGACATCCGCATTCGCGGATGTTAGCGTTTAAACATTCGCATCCGCATTCGCATCCGCGGATGTCTAAAATTCCACATTCGCAACATCCCTGGTACAGACCAGCAGGCAAAAATGCAAGAGCAAATTTAGTTTCTTCCTATTTCTTTGCAGCGCGCATCGTAGACATCACTCATTGCAAGATACGAGGAATGTGAAATGAAGCATAAGTAGACGCATAGTATCTGATTGCTTGCCCCCCTAGCAGCCGTTTGTCATACTCTCACACATGCATACCTATTTACATACATATGTACATAAAGGAGCTGCAATTTTTTTCACCTAGCCTAGCATATTGTCTGCCGCCTGCGCTGCTCTATGCCGCTGTTATTCTCAAATTCTCTCTTGTCTTTCGCTATTCCTTAACTTATTTGTCAGCATCTTTGTTTGTTTTTTTCTACCTCAATAGTTATTGTGCTGGCTGTGTGTGTATCGTGTTTGTCTTTGGTGTTGATTGCACAAAGCAGCTGTGCAAAAACAAAGAAAAATGGCAAACGTGTAGAAGCAAATCATTAAGCGTAAAAGCTAGTGAATAAAATTGAAGAAATATTGTCGATATCGAATTTTCAAAGCAATTGAAATCGAAAGTAATTGGCGCATGTACATAATGCTCATAGCTAAATTAGTAAGAAGATACATACATATATACACACATACAACATATCTGTGCAGTTTTTTTAGTCTTCTTTGAAACTGCAACTGAATCGAATATTTTTGAAATTTTTTTTGATGGTTTTACTGATATCAAAATCGGATGTTAAATATTTCATTGTTGTTGTTTTAGCGGCACTACAAAGCCCCGCACAAGTCGGTTTGTCAATCATCCATTGTTGTCGTCAAGCTCAACTAACGGTAGGCCCAGGAAACATGCTGTTTGGAGAGGGTTTCTAGCTGAGCAGAGGTCATCAATATCGAACAGTCGTCAGCGTATGATATCAGGGAAACTCACTCCGGTGGCTGAGGAAGCTTCGAGATGTTGAAATTAAACAATCGCTGGGATACTTAGCATATAACCCTGTGGTACCCCTTGATTACTTCTCCTTAGTTAAAGAGTTTTAGCTCGAAAGATTACTGACGACTACCGCCCTCTGAGATAATTCGCCGACCACCCTTTGAAATTCTGTGGTAGAGTGAAAGCCTCAATGTCTTCTAGTAGCGTGGAATGAAAAGACTCGCCTTTGTTGGCGGATTTACTCGGCTTTAGTATTGGAACCCCCCTCCCCGATTTCCATATATGTATCTGGATTTATGAGGGTGGCCGGCAAAAGATTGAGAACTTTGGTGAGATATGCTACTCCCGTCGGACCAAATTGTTTTCAGCATCAGCATAGATATTCCGTCGGCACCAATGACTTTGGATGCTTTTCATCTTCCCGATGGCGTACTGTTTTTTTTTGCAGTTTATGTAGTCATCACTAGACGCTTGGCCTTTTTAAGCGAGGCATGCAGTGTAAATTACCGGCTAAAATAGCTCCGGTCCGACGAGCCGTGGCCATCGACTGAAATTTCTACTGTGCCGTTTCAGGAAAATAAAACTTTTTGTTAAAAAATAATTCTCGTTTTTTTTTTTAATTTTTTATAAATTTGTTGTTGATTCTAAATATAAAATGGCTTAGTTTTTGTCTGACATACTTATCTATAAGTACCTAAAATGGCTGTACCAAAATAAGTATGCAGTGCCAGATAATGTAAAATTTTCGCTATATTCACTTTCGTCAATAGAGTTGCCATTCAACCAGTATATATCCATTGCAATAATTTGAACTACATAAATTGAAGCCTTAAGCGTACACAAACGTGCACTAAGTTTTATTAGTTGTTGATTTCAAAGTATATAATCTTTGGAACGTTTCTCTTTTTCAAAAGACAGTTTTATCATCAACAATTTCTACAAAAGCAACAAAGTTAAAGTTTGAACGGCTCCCGTGGGGCATTAGGTAGTAGCAAAGTGTGCAACGTCCACAGGTGAAGCTTAAGAATTTATTATACTTTAAACTCTTCTGAACTAGCACAAGAATGAAGTAGTATTAGAAAGTAAATATGTAATTCGAATGAGGCAAAAGTTTGTAAGTAAATACACATTTCAATTGAAATCATACAAAAAATATTGCTTACGAACATCTTTGGTTAAGCTGCACACTAGACCGTACCAGAAAAAAAAATCGCCGCACACCACTGAGTATAAAGTATTTTTGCAAGACAATTGAGTATGCAGTTCAATAGCCCATTAAATTCTAGGGTAATAATGCGCAAGTCTTTAGTTGCTAAAAAATCGCGTTGATTTTTAATATTTTTTTTTCTGACTTCTTTTTGCATTTTTTTTCATAAAAAAAAAATTCTAAAATTTATTTTGTATGGAAAAAAAATTTGTAATGCAGTCAGAAAAAAAATTATTAAAAATCAACGCGATTTTTTAGCAACTTATGACTTGCACATTATTACCCTAGAAGTTAATGGGTTATTAAACTGCATAATCAAAAAAATTCTAAAAAATCTGAATTAAAAGTTGAAAATCTAACTGAAACTTTGCAGATGTTTCATAATTTTTGCACAAAGTTTGAAATCTGCATTTATGTGGTGGTTGTTATATAATGAGTTAGACTTTTCTGGAAAAATAATAAACATTAAATAAGCAAAAGAAAAATAGCCAAAATTGATCGAAATAGTGCTGGCTTAATTAGCTGATCACAAGTGTAGGTAATTTCACTGTCAACGCTATGTCGAACGAATAAAATTCGCTCTAACCGAAACCGTAGCCTATTACCACGTTTATATGATGCTTCAATTCGTTCTAAGTCAAACCATGTTATATGGACACACACATGTAAACACATTCTCTAATCGTATTGAAACTTTTAACCGAGCCACCATAAATCACATTTTGAATGCGAGTTAAGAGTTGTTGAATCGTGTTAAGAGTGCATATAAACGCGGAATTTGTCCACACGGTTGTTTCATGCAACTCTGTATAAAGTGAACCATTTAAATAGTTCTTGAAATTACATTTATGCTAAGCTTTGTTATAAAATTAACAGCTAAGATAATTTTTACAAGGCTGTTT